CACTAACAAGAGCTCCAACAAGGAAAAAGTTCAAGGTATTTTGTAATATTCAAGGCTTTGGATCTGAAAGAAAAAGAAACATCTCTTTTGAGAAATTAAACCAAGCCTGAGTGTAGGATTGAATCATATAGTCGTCTTATAGCATAAGAATTCTCAGCTGACATAGTAACAAAAAGTTGGGCAAGAAAAAGTAAATTTGCTCAAGGCCCATAAAAATGCTGGGACCTTTGCAGAACCAAAAATTAATCCACATATTGGGACAAATCCATAATCTAGGGTACCTAAGTCTCCCACTGAAAGGACCATCACTGCTTAAGATGAGCTCATAATAAAAGATGAGCTCACAATAAAAAATTACAAACCATGTGAGGAAATGAGGATGAATCAAAAGACTCGATAAGCAACAAAATCATAGAACTATCAATACTGGAACACTGTGAAAGGGACTAGAAATGTTACTATGTTTAAAATGATTACAGAGGCAAAAGAAGGAATTGAAACAATGGTGAAAGAAAGAATTGAAACAATGGAACAAGAGGACAATATGAACAGAAAATAAGCAGATTTGAACCAAGACTACTTTTACTCTTGGAAATAAACGATTAATTCATTCAGATTAAAAACTAAACAAATAAATCATCATGTAAAATGGTCAACTGAAAAAAACAGATCTGAATACACCTCCTGTAATGTAACACAGAGATAACACGATGGAAATATAAGAGAATTTATGAGACATTGAAGACAGAATGAGAAGTTCTAACATATACTTCCAAGAGGCATTCCAGAAAGAAATTTGTGGAGACATTTGCAGAGATAATGGGAGAAGAAAAATACTGTTACAATTCACATGTTCTATGGTTGTTTTATGTAGAAAACCTAAAATTATCCACACAGAAATTATTAGCACTGGTAAGAGTGTAGCAATATAGACATAAAATCAATACACATTTTTCTGGAAATATGCATGTTTTCTTTTACATTTTCAATTTAATCAGCATAAAGTTAACGAAAAGCATCTCCTTATCCTTTTTACCTCTGGTATATCCAAACTTATGACACCTTTATCAGTTTAATGAAATTTATATGTATCTTTTCTCTTTCTCTTAAATAATCACACCAGAGTTTATCTACTTTGTTAATTTTTTCAAAGAACAATATTTTGGCTTCCTTGAGCCTCTCTATTATTTAATGTGATTTCTGTTTAATTAATCTATTATTTATATGATGGTTATTTAATTGGTTTCTGCTCTTTATAGTGTTTTTTATTCTACTTCCTTTGTATGTTTTTTTTTATTCTTCTTCTTTAACTTTCAAACTTGGAAACATCGCTATTTAATTTTCAGCCTTTAAGTATTGAGGCTACATTTTTTTCTCAGAGTACCATTTTCCTGTATCTAACACTGTATCTTTTGTATAACAAGTGAGATGTGAGAAAAGACACATACATATAAAAACAAACACTGATAAGATACATAAGATAATTAGAACTTATACCCCTTCATCATATCATATACAAAAATCAACACTAGATGAATTAATGAGCTATATATAAAATACAAAACTATAAATATGGGAGAATACTTTTATGATCTCAGGGATACAAACATTTTCCTATACAAGAAATAAAAACTGAAAACCATAGAGAAAAAAATTAACAAATTTGGCTACATTAAAAATAACAATATCCATTTTTTCAAAAGCCACCATAATGAGAATGAAGTGACCAGCCACAGACTGGAAAGAGATGTGTCAAATATAAATATATATATTTATATATATTTATATTTATATATATATTTATATATATATATATATATTTTTTTTTAAGATTTTCTTTACTTATGTGATAGAGAGAGAGTGAGAGAGAGAAAACATGAGAGGGGAGAAAGTCAGGCTCCCCGTGGAACTGGGAGCCAGATGTGGGACTTGATCCCGGGACTCCAGGATCATGACCTGAGCTGAAGGCAGTCACCTAACCAACTGAGCCACCCAGGCACTCTCAAATATATCTATATATATATATATATATATTAAAGATTTTATTTATTTATTTGACAGACAGAGATCACAAGTAGACAGAGAGGCAGGCAGAGAGAGAGAGGGAAGCAGGCTCCCTGAAGAGCAGAGAGCCCGATGCGGGACTCGATCCCAGGACCCCAAGATCATGACCTGAGCCAAAGGCAGCGGCTTAACCCAGGCGCCCTCAAATATATTTTTATATACAAACATACTCACATAATATATAACTGTCAAGTGATTAGTATCCTGAATATGTAAAAAAAATTCTTATAAATCAGTAAGTAAAAAACAAAAAAAAATTTTAAAAAGACCAAAGGAATTACACAAGCATTTTATAAAAAAATATAAATGGCCAATAAACATATAAAATGTCCCTCAGTCTCATTAACAATCAGAAAAATACGAATTAATTCTATTATGAAGAACTATTAATATCCATAAAACTGGCAAATACTCAAGTCTAGAACTATCAGCCATCTGGCAGTGACGTGCGGCAAGGCAATTTGTCACATAGTACTGATGGGAAGGTAAATTAGTACAGTCATTTTGGAAACCAATTTTTCTTTATGGAGCTGTCCATACTCCAACACCTAGCAATTCCACTCCTAAGTATAAACTCTAGAGAAACTATTGATTTCCAGGAGGCATTTATGAAAATGCTTAAGGTAGCATTATGCCTACTAGTAAAAAACTAGAAATAAGCCACTGTCCATTAACAGTAAAATGGATAAAACGTGGGTAATGGAATACAATACAGTAATGATTAGGAATAAATTATAGCTATACTCAACAACATACTAGGATCCCAGGAACATAATTTTGAGTGGAAAAAACAAATTGAAAAATATATACACCTTTAGCTCATTGATACAAAAGTTTTAAAACGTGTAACAATATGCTTTTCTGCTGAAACTACAAAGAAAGAAAGAAATGATAAATCTTAAATTTAGGGTAATAGTGGTCTCTGACAGGAGAGGAAATAAGTAGGTTCATTAACAGACATTCATGGGAAGAATTATTAAAAGATGTACTTGAGCCAGAAGGAAAATGAACCCAGAAAAAAAAAAAAAAGTGAGAAACATGGAGGAGAGGTAAGCAAAGAAACTGGCAAACCCTCTTATAAAACTAAAAACACAGATGGAAGCACCTGGGTGGCTCTGTTGGTTAAGTGTCTGACTCCTGATTTTTGTTCAGGTCATGATCCCAGGGTCATGAGATCGAGCCTGGCTTCAGGCTCCGAACTGGATGTGGAGCCTGCTTAAGATTCTCTCTCTCACACTCTCTCGCAAAAAAAAGAGTCGTCTCTATTCCTCACTTCTGACCCACCCCCACTAAAAAAATAAAAATTAAAAAGAAAAACAGAGGTGGATCTATATACTTTTTTAAAAATATTTTATTTATTTATTTGACAGAGAGAGATCACAAGTAGACAGAGAGGCAGGCAGAGAGAGAGAGAGGGAAGCAGGCTCCCCGCTGAGCAGAGAGCCCGATGCGGGACTCGATCCCAGGACCCTGAGATCATGACCTGAGCCGAAGGCAGCAGCTTAACCCACTGAGCCACCCAGGTGGATCTATATTTTGTGGGACCTTAAGCTTGCTTAACTTGGGGAACCCATTTTAAGAAATGAATATTAAAGGATCAATAGAAAATTAGGTACAAAAGTTTACATTTCCAGGATACCCGGCTGGCTGGGTCAGTGGAGGATCCGGCTCTTGATTTTGGGATTATGAATTCCAGCCCCACATTGGATGTAGAGATTACTTAAAATATATTTTTTAAAGGTCCACATTTCCTTAGAATGAGAACAGAAATCACAACAAATAAAGGGGAGGCAAACCATAAAGCGGACTCTTGGTTATAGAGAACAAACTGAGGGTTGTTGGAGGGGAGGTGGGTGAGGGTGGGCTAAATGTATAAATGTGTATATAAGTGATGAATCAACTAAATTCTACACCTGAAACTAAAATTATGCTGCATCTTAATATTACACTGCATGTTAACTTACTGGAATTTAAATAAAAACTTGAAATTAAAAAATAAGTTAAAAAAATTGCAGCTAAACGCTACAAAAACTCAAAAAATCCAGGAATGTAATGCAACCTTTATTTAATTAGATTATTATTTATTTTTATTATAATTTCACCTCCTCTATAATACATTTCATTCCCTACCATTTTCGACTGCATACCCTTTTCTCATCTCCTAATGCAATAATGACTTTTAAATATAAACTTTATATATAAAGAGGTAGAAAGACACATATAAAGAGGTAGGAAGACACATTAGTCTTTTTTTTTTTTTCCTTTAAAGCTTTTATTTGTTTATTTGACAGAGAGAGACACAGCGCCAGAAGGAACACAAGCAGGGGGAGTGGGAGAGGAAGAGGCAGAGAGCCCGAGGTGGGGTTCCATCCCAGAATCGCAAGATCATGATCTGAGCTGAAGGCAGACACTTAACCAGCAGAGCTTAATGGAGCTTAATTTAACGACTGAGCCACCCAGACACCCCGACGCATTGGTCTTCTAACACAGTTGGTCAAAACTTGTTCTTTTTTAAAAAAAAATCAGTCACAGTTTAGAAAATTTTATTTTAGCTTCACATGCATTGCTGGTAGTGGAGGGAGGCGTGGGATAACTCCAGCCCGTGGATCTCCCTGTCACAGCAAACTCTTCAGGTCGGCTGGCTTTCACCGCACCCAGGACCCCTCCCACCCCTACCTTGCCAGGGCGGTTCTCAGCGGCGGGCTGTGCCAAGTCACATGACCCTTGAGCTGACGTGGGCAGAGCCTCAGTCCCAGTCTTCTCACCTCAGAAGGAGCTAATGCTCCAGGGAATCCATAGAAGGCGGACTCTTGTCCAACACCCCACTGGGGACTCTTGTCCAACGCCCACCCCCTTTTCCTGCAGCTCCAAGACTACCCCAGGATGAGAAAAAGGACCTCCAGACTAGCAGGACTCCGTTCCTCCACTATCTTGGGGTGCCACTTCTTCCTGGTATCAGAGTAGGGAGGAGGGTTCATCAAGTTAAGGGGCTGCAGCTGAAATATTAGCTTCAGGGTAAAGCAGCAGGTAGCAGGAACCACGGAAAATATTATTAACAAGAACAGCAGTAATAGTCATGATCCTTAGAGGAACTATTACTTCCCATTCATATATCCATTGAAAGGAGAAGTTCTCTAATCTCCACAAGTGATAATACGAGAACACTCATAACTTCTCTCTGCTTCCTTAACCACTGCACCTACAGGCAGGAGAATGGGAAAGTTTGGGAGGCACACCTCACCATGCTTGGCTCAGCCCTGCTATGCTCTCTTCTTTCGGGTCTGCTGCCTCCACCAAAGGAACATTCTGGTTTGCCTGGATCCAGGTGGTGAATAATCCACCTTATTAGGGAGACCTGCTGCTGTCTCACTGTGCCATTGGGGGCTAAGTCCATCTAGTTCAGGAATTAAGTATCAGCAAGCCCATCTGGCCACAGATCTAAAATCACTTTCTCCAATCAGCTTTATCTGAAATAAAACTAATATTGCATTTTGATCTCCACCTCTAATTCCTGCCTTTCTTCCCCTCTTTCTCCATATTGGTTCTGAATTTCAGAGAGGAAGAGAAGCACTACATACCAGATACCCTACAACCCTAATAATAAAGACTAATTTGGGGACACTTTTAAAAACAGATGAAGCTAATAAACTAGACAACAATAACACGGGAGAAGAGAGAACAGAGTTACTGAGTAAATGCAATGTCTCTTAAGTCAAATGCAGCATACTCAAAATTTAAGGATAACGTCTAATAGAAATAGAATATACATCTTCCAGGACGCTGAAGAAGGAAAAAGGGAAGAAAATCAATCCAATCGGAATCAGAAAAACCCCAAATAATAAGGAAAAAAATGGTAAATAGAACACATAGTTGGTAGAAATAAATCCAGTGATCAGCAATCCTAATGGAAGTAAACACTGAATTCAGCTGTTAAAAAGCAGAAATTATCTGAACTGAAATACAAATTCTATACGTATACCCTTTGCAAGCATAAAAGACAACAACGCACAAAATTTGAAGTAAAATTATGGAAAAAAAATACCAAATACTAAACAAATGAAGGCAGAAAACAATACTAATCAGATGAAATAGAATTTAAGACAATGAGGGCGCTGGCTGGTTCAGTCGGTAGAGCATGTGACTCTCGATCTCAGAGTTTTAAGTTTGAGCCCCACATTGGGTGTAGAGATTATTTACATTACTTATTATTATTATTATTATTTAAAAATAAAATCTTTAATAAAAAAGAATTTAAGGCAATAATATTAGGTATTAAAAGGGGCTACCATTGGGGTTCCTGGCTGGCTCAGTTCATAGAGCATGGGACTCTTGATCTCGGGGTCGTGAGTTCAAGTCCATGCTGGACATGGAGGCTACTTAAAAAAAAGGGGGGTTATCATTTAACAATAAAAAGAACAATTACCAAAAAATTATAATAATTCTGACTTTCATGCACCCAAAAATATAGTCTTAAATACATATAAAGGTAAGTAATGATACATATACTAAAGGAATTATTAAATCCCCCCATCATGGTGGGTATTTTTTAAAAAAGATTTTATTTATTTATTTGAGAGAGAGAGAGAGAGAGAGAGACAGCACAAGCAGGGGAGGGGCAGAGAGGCAGGGAGCCTGACCCAGGGCTCGATGCCAGGACCCCGTGATCATTACCTGATTGTAGTTGGTATTTTTAACACATCTCTCAAGAACTGATACAGAAAGCTTACAAATAATTAGGAAATATAAAGTATCTCAAACAACACAATTGCTAAGCTTGCTCTAACAAACATATACAGAATCCTGCCCCCAATAATTAGGGAAAACAGAAAATTACTAGAGAGTGACACACTCCAGTCACAACAAATACCAAAGAATTCATTTCATACGCAGCACATTTCATATCACAACGCAATATCGTCAGAAATTTAAAACCCAACAAAGCAATTTAGAAATTTTATCGCTTTCAAAACTAAAAAGCATTTTAAGATAGATTGATCAATCAATTGACAGATAAAATATATGAAAGGACAACTAGACACAGAGAAAAGATGATAAGATACCATAAAAATATTTAATAATACATTATTTAATAATACATTGGGTATCCCTTTCCATGTTGATAACTATAGATCCATACCATCATTTTAACAATGACATAGTACTTTGAGGTCTGAATGAACCATAACGTGTTTGTTGTGGAACCATTTATGAGTCAACCTCTTGGTTATGTGGCAGAGACGGCAGTTTGTTCCCAAGACCCCTTCTTCTCTTCTTCCCTCATAACAAGGCTCCTAGTTTTTACCTGGCAGGTGCTGTCTAGAATAAAGCCTTATTTCCCAGGTTGCTTTGCTGGTGGATGTGGCCATGTGACCAAACGAAAGTATCATGTTCAACTTTCAGGATGTATCCTTAGAAAGAACTGTGCCCTTCTTCCTTCCTATCTTCCTCGTGTTATCTTTATACCCTACTTCTTGTGTGTATGGATGAAACATTTGGAGATCAATTAGCTATCTTGGACTACAAGGTAGATCCTCATGTTTACAAGATTGTAGATGCAAGATAGAATGAACCTGTGTCACTGTTAATCATGGAGTTGCAATATGGATTGCTTATCTCAACATTTGCATGCAAGAAAATAAATATCTACCTTATTTAAGTTTTATTATTTGGGATTTCCCTGAATAACATGTTTTCCCAAATATTTTGCTGTAATGATCAGCTGCTATAAGCATTCCTTTGTGCCTGTATTTCCCTATTTCTTGTAATGGAATGGATAAGTCATGGGTTATATCCTTGTATCTATTTTTAAAAAGATTTTATTTATTTATTTGAGAGAGAGCAGCAAGCAGACCCCCTCCTGAGCATGGAGCCAAACATGTGGCTTGATCTCACCACCCTGAGATCATGACCTGAGCCTAAATCAAGAGTTGGATGCTTAACTGAGTGAGCCAACCAGGCGCCCCTGGGATATAACCTATTGAAAGTTTTTCAGATGTATTGCCAAATTTCACTTTGTCAATCAGATGGGCCAAAAATAAGGTTGTACTTTTTAGATTACTGAAATGGTTAGACATTTTTAAAAACTGTTTGTCATTTGTGTTTATTCTATGTTGCTTTTGTAAGTTCCTTAACCATTTTTCTATCAAAGCATTCTTTTTCTTATGGACTATAGAAGACTATATATTGAATATTTAATCCTTTGTCTGTCTTACTTATTATAAATATTTTCTTCAGTCAGTTCATTGTTGTTAAACACTGATTGTGGTATTTTTATGTAGAATTTTTTTTAAAGGATTTTATTTGTTTATTTGATAGAGAGAGCACAAGTAAACAGAGTGGCAGGTAGAGGGAGAGAGAGAGAAGCAGGCTCTGTGCTGAGCAGGGAGCCCAATGCAGGGCTCTATCCCAGGACCCTGGGATCACAACCTGAGCCAAAAGGCAGCCACTTAACCAACTGAGCCACCCAGGTGCCCCTTTATGTGGAATTTTAAAAGCTTATCAGGACTTAGCTTTCTGTCTTTGGTATCATTTTTAGAAAGTTGTCTCTTCTTATAGACTGTAGGAATATTTGCCTATGATACCCATAATACTTGTATGTGTTGTTTTATTTTTATTTGACTTAGTTAGAAATTATTAACCCATCTGGCATTGATTTTGTTATATTGTAGGGATATAAATTTTTATTTTCCCAAGTGATTAACCAAACCTTTCACCTTTTATTAAATCAGTCATCCTTTATCCCCTAATACAAAATGCCATTTCTAGGAAAAACTAAATTCTCCTTATATACAAGATCACTTATGAACTTTCAGTTCTGTTCTATTAATCTATATATCTATTTCTATATCTATTATCTATTATCAGTGCCATAACTTAATCTAGCTTTTAAATATTTGTATAATAGTTGATATGGCATCTCCTTCCTAATAAATCTTTTAAAACTTCTCAAAATGAACTTTATGCCTTTTTTTTTACATTCTGACAAAACAACAAAAGACAAATTCTGCTAAATTGGAACTTACATTTGAATTTCATCATAGTTTTAGACTGATTTGCAATCATTTGACCCATTTTCATGATTGACTCATCAATATGATATTGATATGACACCAATATGATATTTTTAATTTTCAAATGAAGTCACTTTGATCTTTTTCTGAGAGGTTATTGGACCCTGGAAATTAACTAGCTCATGAAGCCTCTTGCGTGAGAGTAGGGAAGTCATAAAAGAAGCCTTTGCCTCCAGTGTGCTAATATTCCACTAAAGGTCATTAAGATTGCATTGAATTGACGTGAAATCATGTAAAATAGAAATAAAACTCTCCATAACTTTATGATTCTAAATACACCACCCGGTACTTAGATCTTGCAAAGCTGGCTGGAATGACAAATGACAGTCAGAGCAGAGTGGGATGGATCTGGAACGGTAAAGCACGGGCTAAAAAGCATTGCAGATGTCAGCAGTAGCATTTGGATGGAGCAAGGCAAATTCCGAGGTGGATTCCCATGCATTCTAGGCTAGCAAAGATAATATGAATGCACAATAATTTTTAAAAAGGGAAATTAGGGAGAAGGAACCAACTGTTAGAAAACTTTTCAATATGGATCAGTAATACGGATTTCACTAGAGCAAAATTTTGACTTACAGTTTCTGAAAAGGGGAGCAAAAAACCAAAACGGTGCTTAAGAAAGATCATTCTTGCTCCAACGAGCTCATAAGTGTGGAGTAAGAAGGTGATTGATTAATAGACTGTTAAAGAAAGGGGCACAACAATTTTTTTTTGGAATATAATTTATTTACTCGATAATTTCTGCCTAGAACTGTGTTAGCACGAAAATGACTTTGTTTGCGCCCCAACATCTACTTTTACAAGGCCCTCGTGACGGATTTCTAATAACACCACTTACGAAGAGGGAGACATTCCCCAGGTACTTCTGTACATTGCTCA